CTGTTTTGCATCCCACTTGAAATTGATGCCCACAGATGGCAAACCCACCACTTCCTACAGCTGCTGGGGTTCCTGCAAGCTTACCTTCACAAGCTTCATCTCATGGCAAAAGTCCAATGGAGAAGGAAAGAAAAATTCTGTGTCCTTTCTCTCTGCTTCACAAAGGGCAGAGTACTCAGCCTGGATCCCATGACAGACACTCAGCCTAGGTTAAATTGCCTTCCCCTTTGAAGCATTCAGACCATTTACATTTCACTACCCATCCTCCTATAGCTTGGATAGAAAGCAGTACTATGCTCCAGGATCCAGATATTTCAATGACTACCTAAGTCAATGAAAGAAGATTTACCTGTGCCTCCTCCGCTAATCCACAAAAATCCACATTCAGGGATGGAACAAGCCTTTAGGAACATAAAACATGATCACATGTAGTGTGATCTGACCTCAGGGCCAGAAAGCAAGAGTAAACTACTACCGAAAATTGAGATCTATTAAACGGTAGTAAACAAGAGTGACCAAATATGTCAGGAGTTTTAAAGAAATACTAAAATTAATTGACAGCTAATTGTAGGAAACTAAAGATAGTACATTAGAACCAGTGTACCCTTTTCTCTGGGGAAAAAACACATTTATTACCCTTCTGCTAGTGCTGCAGACAGACTGGGTAGATCATTCTCTGTACAGAGTATCATTCATTTAATCTGAATTTAAAATGCAGTACTTAAATCTGATAAAGTAATCATTGTTTTTTGCATTATTTAAATAAAGTTGATAACCCAACTCTCTATTACTCGGAGCTTTTGCTTTGAATCAGAGTCAAAACATTATGCTGAAAACTCCTTCTCTGCCAGTTTTTTTGGCAGAGAAACAACTCACACAAACGTGGGAAAATGTGTTTTCCTTTCCCTTCCCACTAACTTGGTTAACATGGTTCTTCACATGACTCAAAGCCATCTCCCTCTACAACTACACAAGTTAAAAGCAGTTTAGGGAGCAAGGTCAGGTGATTTGGACATCAGGTGATGCATATTCTAACCCAGGGCTATCTTTGCTATGAGCAAGTCCACTGGTACTTGAGAAGCAAAAATCCCCTTTGAAACAGACATTCTCTCATGCCTTTTTTCTGCCTTGCATTTCACTGTTCTCCTCCACCACAAATAATCTTGTCCTAAAACAGCTCCTGACAGTAATATAATGTACTATTTCAAGGAATCATTCAATTCCCATTATTTCAATATCAATAGAAATTATTTGCCAATATTACCTGTGCATGCTAGTACTTAAAGTAATAAACAACACACTATAATGAGTTGTCTGTACACCTCTCTTCCCGATGAAACATGGATCTTAATGGAAGCCAGGAAAGCCATGGATCTTAATGGAAGCCAGGAAAGTGCTGAGACAATCTTTGTGAACAGAGCTGTCACACACAGAAAAACTACAACGAAAGCACAGTTTATCATGGTGATATAAATCACACAGCTTGCTTTGCAATCCTCATCAGATTTCAAATGTTCTTGCTGAGATACCTGACTTCAGGAGGAAGTCTTCACCTTTGAAGTCCCAAAGGGGCTACACAAAAAATGGACAAAGCACAGCTTCACATTCAAGAAGATGGTTTCTCTAGTAGCAAGTTCAAGCAAAATGAGAAAGAGAATCCACCTTGCTCTTTGGAAATCCAAACCTGCAACACTGCACTTCCTCAAATTCCTTACTTGCATGAACAGTTCCATGAAAATCAACAGCACTGAACTCTCACACGCTAAGTTGTTGCAGAATTGAGAAGTACAAAAACTCCCTCTTTTCTGTACAGCACAAGGGACTCCATCCAACTTCCCTTTGAAGTTGATTAAGAGTACTCCCATTAACCTTCCAAGAGCTGAGTCTGACTCCCACTAGAGTAAATATTTGTTCCTCAATAGTTACTGTTTCCTCATTTGTTAACCCCAATGCGAAAAATCAAAAAACAAAAAGTGAACTGTCTAGAGTTCGTACACACAACACATGAATAGCAAGATCCAGTCATAACAAGGCTTTTACCTTAAATACTTTCCTAATTATTAGGCCAACAGGTAATTCTTCCCAATTATTGTGGAAAAGACACAACAAGGCTGAAGATATCACAGTTTTACAGTCATCCTATTACTGGGTCCCAGAAAAGACAAAAGGATCATAAGACTCTATGAAAAATGTGAGACTAGCAATTGAATGATAAAAAAGCAATGTAAATGCAAAATGAAAGACTAACCTACAGTATTTTCAAAGATAAATATATGTAGGAAACTTTGCAGGAAGTTTTAGTGAATGGCCTACACTTCTATGTGCTGCCTCTTTAGAAAGTTTTATTTTCTTCACCTACACGTTGCTGAAGCCCCAATTAGAAATTCTGCTACACATATACAAAATCATGTTCAGAAAAGTCTCCAAGAAGCTTTGCAGTCCTGAAGCTACTCTGTACCAGAAAGAAACAAAAAAAACCTATAAATTGAAGGTATGAGAAATCCAATTAAAATGACTGGAATAACATCTTCTAAATAGAAAGGGTGAAATACCTCATTCCTTTTTTAGACATCCCTTTCATATAGCCAGGTTAACTTCTGGGAACAATGAAAAGAAGGAGGAAACAAAAATTTGAACAGAATCACGGAGAGGCTAAAGAAACAATCCCCGGAAAAGGGGTTTAGCAGGTTCTGCTGCCTTACCAGTGAATTTGAATATCAAATTTCACTCTCCTTCTGAAACAACAAACACATACCATAGGGCTACAAAAAATGCAAACACCACAAACTAGACCACACAAAGCAACAGCAGCCATGCCCTATTTATATATACTATATAAATCTATATATTTTTATATACTAATCCAATAGATGGACACAACAGGAGAACATCTTCAAGAGAAATATATAGTAACAGATCACAAAGTGCAGACAGTACAGCAAGAGAAGTGACTATTTGTCTTTGGACAGTTCTAGTTTCACTGCTGTTCAGAAGACTTATGTGGTACATTTCTCACAAGGGGAGACAAAGAAAGTAATAAATCTTTCTTTTTTCCTTCAAATCTTGGTTCCCCAAACTAAATTGATTTTTATTGTTTGGCTGTTTCACAAATCTGGAAGTTGCTTCTCATTGCAGCAACAGGGAAATTTCAGTTGCTAAGTTTATGTATAGATATTTCTGGTACTATGTAAAAGTAAGTTAACTCACATCCAGATGTTCAGAGAAGTATACAAGTACAGAAACACCACTGAAACTATGGCATTAACATGGAAACATTTATTTTTCTATATCTGAAAGCAACAGGAATTGTTGTTTTGATGATCCATTGATCAAATTATTTTTTTCTGTTTGGTTAACATAGTTGAATGGCTAAACAGAAAAGCATATAGTGCTTTACTAGAAGGTACTTATGCACCAAACATATTTGTTCCCTAGGACTCCTATGACAAAAACTAGCTGAACCCACATAATATACCACATACAGAACAGGTACCTTCTGTTTATCACTTGGTTCATTACATCTTCTCACTTCCCCACTTCCCACCCTCAATTCTTATACACATCATTATTTATTCTTCACTTCCTTCAAAATGCTGAGAATGATGCTGAGTCTTCAAGGCAAAGAGGATATTCAAAAATTTCTACCAAGAAGACAAAATGAGTATTACACACAGAGCCACAAACAGATCCTGAATGCACCTTTGCAAGTTGTGTTATTCACTGAATTCGACAACCCATGGCCAAATGATCCCTACTGGCAAAAATATCCTGCCAGCTTCCATTAAATGCAGACCAAGAGAAGCACATTGCTCCCAAGCACAGGCTCTTTCTCTCCCTATGTCAAAGAATAAAAGCATAAACCATTACTACAGGTTAGTAGCAGATTTGATTGAAAAGACAGAAAGATATATAACTGCATCAGCAAGTGACTTCTAATAGGTTCTCTGTCCTGCCAGCATACCCTCTGTGTTCTGCAAACTCAGCTACACTCTGGCAGCCCCAGAAACACGTGACAGCGTTACTTTCTTACTGCTACCAAGAAGTGTATGTGTACTAAATGTAACAAACTGGGTTACCAGAACAGCTAGGCTGCACACCCAGGTGTCACGAATTACTCTCCTTTTCCTTTGTAGGGTGCTCTCAGGTATGCTGTGTGATACTGCTGAAGGGAAACAGCACTTACACAGTACAATGCAATGCTGCAGTACTTCATGTGCTCACACACCTACAACTCGCCAGTGAAGGGCCAAGGGCGCCTGACTGGAGTCACCACCTGAGATATAAAACATCACATCCCTGCGACCCATGCAAAGCAGGAATGTGGGCAGATCCTCAATTTTTAGCAGCAGTTCTTCAGGCCCATCTAGCATCAAGTCCCAAGCATTGGATTATGTGGAACAGGGTTGTGGATGGGAGGAAAGTTTCCAAATGTCTTGTGCTATCCGTCCCACTCAGAAGAAACCAAAAATTATTAGCTAGTGAGCTACAAAAAGCTTGTGAACTAGTACATTTTAGAATATGTACAGAAAATAAAATTGCTTAGCTTTTGCACAAAGCTCTGCAATGGCTTGAGAACACAATGGCACTATGATAACACTATCTGAAGCTGTCCAGCTTCAGAGCATGCATTAAAGCAACTCCTTGACCAAGTCTCTCWCTTTCACCAAGGACATTTCAGCGGAAGGAGCAGGAAAGGATTTGAGACACAGCCAACAGCGAACCACCGTGCGAGCATTCCCACAATCCGGAGGTCTCTCTCAGAGCAAAGTGCTGATTTTTCCAGTGCCTGCTACCCTCCAACACAACTTTTGCCATTTAAAGCTCCGTCGAGCGGCAGAGTGCGGGCAGACTCCCGCGGCCGCGGGAGGACAGCAGGATACCGGGTTCGAGTGGCGCGGCGTTCCCCGGCAGAGCGAGGGCCGCGCCACCGCCGCTCCGCCGCCGGGCAGGGCGCGCCGCGACTGCCGCCCGCTCCGCTTCGCTCCCCTCCCGCTACTCACCCCCGCGACCTGCCGGACAGGAGAGACGACGGCGAAGTCCGGCGGCGGCAGGCGGCGGCGGCGGCGGCACATCAGGACGATCAGGGTGCCCAGAGCGGCGGCAGCGACGGCGCAGCCCGCGTAGAGGGCGAGGCGGAGCAGCAGCAGCGCCAGGCACGGCGGCCCGCCGCCCCCCGCCTCGGCCCGCTCCTGCCCCAGGTGGACGACGGACACAGCCAGAAGTCCTAGCCCCGCCGCCAGCACGAAACGGGACGAGCCGGGTTCCTCGTCCTCCTCGTCTTCCGCCGCCTCCTCCTCGCCGCCGCCGACCACAGCGGCGGCTGCCGGGGCGCTGCGGCGGCGCGCCTCGCCGCCGGGGCCGTGCGAGCCCAGCGGGCCGGGGGCGGCGGCCCCCGCTGCCTCGGGCTGCCCGGCCGTGCTGCTAGCGCTGTCGGCACCGGGGAACATGCTGCTCCTGGCGCCGCTGGGAGCAAGCGCATCTCCCGCCGCGGCAGCCCCCTGCGAAGGTCGCCGCTCCCGGGCCCCCCTCTCTCCTCCGCCGCCGCCGCCTCCTCCGCCGCCCGCCGCCGCCACTGGCACCGCTGCGGCCGCCGGGGGAGCCGGAGCTCATGCCCAGCGGCAGGCGGGTGCGCGGCGGCCGGGCCGCTTCCTGGCGGCAGCGCTGCCCGGCGCTGGGCGGCGGGAGCCGAGCGCCGTGGCAGCAGCCGGGGAGGCCCCGCCGCGCCGCTCGGTGTCCGGCCGGGGAGGGGGCGGGGGCGGAGGCGGTGCCTACCGGGCGGGCGGGCCCGGGACATTTGCGCCTGCCGTGCCGCCCCACGGCGAGGCTTGGCTGGGCTGTCCGTGCCCCCTGCTCTGTCCCGAGAAGCTGCGACGCGGCGGAGTTGGAGATGTCCCCACGCACGAGCCCGGAAACCGGGCTCGGAAGAACCGAAGGGATCCCCGCCGGCTGCAGTGCGGAGCTCGGCTCCGCGGAAAGCTACGGGACGCCTCTCCGCCGCGGGCGCTGGAGCGCACGGGTGGCGGCTCCTGTGATCAGACCGAACGATCAGACCGGGGCATCGAGGCCCTGGGCAGACCTCAGGTTAAAAGCCTTGGCCTGGGGGATCGCAGAGATCCGCACACCCTCCGTGTGGGCAATATGCACTCCTCTGCCTGCACTCTTCCGATTAGACAAAGGATGCCGTAAATAACTGCGTTTCAGAAATAAAAGTTGATAGAACAGTGATGAAAATGGTACAACAGTGATTCTAAAAAAGCCCAGCCTCACTACCCCAACGGAAACCTGCCAGCACTCCTATCACTACGCTCCCTCCACGGGTCTCCTGTTTTACATCTGCTTGTGGTAGATTCTGAGAGCAAATTCCTGGAAGGGCACAAGGCTTGCCATATGTCAGCTGTGCTTGGAACAGGTATTCATGTTGCCATAGGTGCGGTTCAACTACAGCTTCACTGAATTTGCGAGTTCATAGCAGCTACCAATCACAGCTGAATTGGGAGGCCTTGATTTCTACAGAATACTGTCTGCAAAAATCAGCTTCATTACCTGGTGTGCAGCAAGCCAATAATTACATACTTAAAAGAGACATTGATTATTTATTTCAGAGTTGTGCAAGCCTGGGTAATCAGTGGTATTTCACAAACCAAGCACACCAAATATCAAAACTTTTAACTACTTATACATTTTAGCATAGGAGTTAGTGTTCATTGCCTTCAAGTAACATACTTGTCTTATTCATTAGTATTTTATCTTCTATAGGTTAATGATTCTCTCACTTGCCATGTTATTTATTCCACATGCTCAGTATTCTTTTGAGATCAGTTGGTTGATTTCTTGGGTCGGTGGTCCTCGAGTTGATGGTCACAATCTCCCTCTGCTGGAATTACCTTTTATCCAGCTGGAACTGACTTCAGTACTATTGCTGAGTTGGGTTTAATAGTTTCTTCCTTATCTTGGAAGTTCTGCCAAATGTCCTTGTGTCCCATAAATTCTGCATTCTTTGTGTCCACTATCAGTGGTACATCGTTCTCCTCAAGCTTTGTTAACTTCCCCCTAGGTCTGAGATGACAGAAGCAAGTCAAGCCCCTAAACTTTAAAAAGGCAATTCTACCAACAAGGAATTTGCTTTTCTGGCCCATGGACATCACTTAGACCTTGTTGTTAGCTGCTATCTGTTTCATGAATTACATCTCCCTTCTTGAAGGAGTGGCCCTGGCATGCACTTGTAATAGGGACGTTGCGTGTCAGCTCATGGTGCAGAACTGTAATATGGAAACGGGCACAGAACAGCATAGAGCTAGTCAGGATTCTGCATTACAACAGATGTTTTACTCCATCACAGTATTTTCTAAGCTATTTCTTACCTAATTCATAGTGTGTGATGGTCTGGTGTCCATATATACCTGCCTGTGTGTATTAGAGGTTTGTATAGCAATGCATTTCCTTTCAAAATCCCAAAGTAGTTATGAAGTGTTGGTCACTTATCAAGAGACATTGCTCCTTAATCTGATCCAAAGTCTTTACAGAAACTTATATATAATTTCACTTGCAAAATCCTTTTAAATGCTAGCTCAGGCCATTCACAGAGTGTCCAAAATTGATTATTTAAGTAATGTCTCTAATGTGATTAAAGGTAAAAATCATCATATCATAGTACTGAAAATAAGATTGCAATGGCTGTCCTTTCCCATGTAAATTACCGTGTGGTAAAACATCCTGATGATTCACTGAAGGGCTTTGGGACCAGGGTTTTTTCAATAGGTCTGATCATTAAGACCAGCAGAGATTCTTGCAGAATCTGAAAACTTTTGGATAATTTGCACCATGCCAGAAGGTTTCCTATAAAGTTATTCTATTCATCAGGTAGAAAACAGAATGCAAATATCCATCTTCCAGCATATACTTTATCTATCCAAGATTTCAGAATATACAGGACTTTGGACTGAGTTCAAGATCTATTCTGGGATCTTAATAAAGATCCACACAAGGAACCAGACAGATACCCTCTACTGCAAATGCATTCAGGAAACTGCTTGGGCCTCTGTCAAAACTACTTAAGGGAATTGAATTTTTAAATTAACCTGAAGCAGAGCATGTAATGTTGTTAGACCTGTGCAAACAGAGATTATTTTCTTACAGTATTAATTCTCAGAAGTGGAGAGGAAGATAAAAAAACCAAAAAACCAAACCTACCTGCAATAACAGTTTAGACCGGCAGTGCTTATTAACAAATCCACTTCTCATCTCAATGAATAATCCCACCAATCTTAGCTAGGATTTACACATCATACATTGAATTAGATATGTCTAAATCAACTCAGGTGTGTATCCATGGAACTAGAAGAAGACTTGATTCTTTTTCTTTTAGCTTTTAGTAAGTTTCTATGACTTTTCAACATCAGGTACAATTCCTGATATTTTAGATTACATCCTAACTCCACTGAAGTTAATAGCAATTTTCAATTTTATCTCAGTTTTATGTGAACTTCCCCTTTTGTATTTTAAAAATTACTTTTCTGTACAAGACAAAAGAACTTCTGTGAGGTGAATTTTCTGAACTGGGGATTACTATGTCATTCAGTATAGTATCACTATTTACTTAGTCATGGAACTAGTTAATGAGAAAAGAGATTCAAACTCTATTAAAGCATAACAGCAAATATCTTTCCTCCAGAGATAAGACAATTACTTGTTTTAAAAGATAAATTATGTCTGATTTGGGGAAAGATTCAGCATCTTTATTATTTTCCTTTGAGCTAGGAATGTCCCTTATCTTTGTAACATACCCTAAACTGTAAGCCCCACTGATTTGAACACAGTTTTGTGACTACCTTTAGTGACAGTCATTCAACTTGCACCTTCATGATGCAATGAATGAATTGCGCATTGAAAATGTTTTGGCAAGCTTAAAATGAATACTTTTCCTATAGGATTTTTTACAGTTGATTTCTGTTTTGTCAGCCTTTCCAGCTCCGACCACATTGCTATAAAGGGACTAAAACAAGTTACCACTTCTCAATTAAAAAAAAAAATTACATTATTGGGGAAAAAAGAAGTATGTATAGTGCATACATAGTTCCTATTTTTAGCATACTTACAGCTTTGAATTACTTTTTTATAACTACCGTGGTGCTGCATTGAAGTTACCATAATATTAGACATTTATAGAAGTTTCTAAGATTCAGGGCGCAAAACCCAGAAGTGCTCATGAACTTGTAAATTTGATAGTAAACCAGGTAAACCTGAATAACTAGCACTGTTAGAAGGAATCATAGGAGTCCTAGATAACAGAGCAAGAGAAATAGAAATCGGATGTTGTACTTCTCAGTATATTAAAAGCACAAGATATGTAAGTTACACTAATATTAACTAATTTTATTTTTTGCTGCACCTTTTTGAGACAGTGGTATTGTATTGTGCATATTTGCAGCCTAGAACTTGACGCACAAGGAAAAAGGACTAAAGCACCCATTTAGGGTCCAGTGTGAGGAACCTAAAGCCTCACATGGCAGTGTCAGCAAAGGCCCAGTCTTTTGTAGGACGATATTTTCCAAATACAGCCGCGGTCGCGTTGACACGGTGGTGCTCGGTCAGAGGTCTGAGTCGATGATTTCAGAGGTCTCCTCCAAGCTAATTTTTTTGGTGTGATTCTGTGGGGAGCCCGTGCTCGAGCGGCAGCTGCCAGCGGGCGGGGCCGGCCCAGGCTCCCTTCCCTTCCCGCCCCGCCTCGGCACCGCCTCTCCCCGCCCGGCGGCGCGCGGGGCCGGCCGGGGCTGCGCAGGAGCGGGGCGGCAGCGAGGGAGCGGCCTCAGCGCTGCGCAGCTCCCGCCTCCCCTGCTCGCTCCTCTCGCTCGCCTCCCGTGCCTGTGAGTATCCGCCCGGCTGCCTGCTCGGTTACCACAACAAAGCCGGGACAAGTGGGGGCCGAGAGGGACGCGGCGGCGGCCGCTGGTGCTGCTTCTTGCCGGGTGGTAGGGCCTGCGGTGCCTCCTCGCCACGGAAGGTTCCTGGAGGGCGGTTGGGGGCGGTTGGGGACGACGGGCATGTTCCTCCCCCGTCTGCGGCAATTTTTTCCCGAAACAAGGTGGGATATATGCTTTTCCTGTGCGTACATATGTATTATTTTTAACCATTATATAATTTAAAAAAAAATATTTTGTTTTAATTGGCTGTCTTCCTACTCGTGCTCCTGCCTGAGCGACGCGCACGTAGGTGTTCCCCGGGCGCGTCGTGCGCGCTGCCTTTGCAGGGCTGGGGCTGGCGTTGAGCTGCAGGAATTTGGTCATGCCGCCCCACATCAGTGCCATGCCTGCCCGCTTCGCTCCTCGGAGAGATTGGAAAAGAGGTGGGAGATTCCCTTCTGAGGTACCGGCACTCTTTGTCGCCGTAGTGGTCGGCTTTGGGAGCAAGTTACAGTGCCGTGTGTGCTATCCTTAGTTGCCGGACTGTTGAGACACACGTTATAGTGATGCCCACATACTGTTCAGAGGGGTGCTTTGGTTGGGTTTAGTTAGTGGGAGTTAAGTCAACTGGAATGATTGTTGTAAGCGGCTTGCTTCGAGCGTGTTGATCATTGCAGGAGTCACTTTTCCACACTTTCCTAAGGACAGTCTGGTAACTCCCCTTGCCCGGCACAGGGCTCTGTTCTGACTAATGGTTCCCAAGGTGGGGCTGTAGTTTCGAAGAATAACCAGCCACCAAAGCTCTCGGCCCCTGTGGGTTAGGATGGAAATCACAAAAGAGGTAACTCTGAAATCTGGGCCCCTGCAGCAGAGCAGTGTACTGAATTCCTTAGAAAGAGACTCAGAGAGATGGTGCAACAAAAATGCAATATGACTGCATTTGTCAGACATTGGGGTTTTTTTCTGAAGTATGCACAGCACATTATGGAAGTTGACATTTTAAAATGGTTTGTGGCACAACATAATTTAAAGTAATAACCTTTATGTGTGGCTGAAATTTTTCCTTTACAATTGTACTGCACACAGTTTTTCAAAAAATGGTTTAATTATAGTATGCAAATACTTTCACTTATATAGTCTTACTATAAGACAAATGAAAAAATCTAGTTTGCATTTGGACAATATATTTTTTTAATTGGGTGGTTAAAATTTCTATGCAACGTTTCTAGAAACACCAGGACAATGAGGTGAGATGGAATTAATGTAACAGAATTAGCAGTGCTAAATTTCTTTTTTACACCTGCTTTTGTCTGTATTGAGATGCTCAGTTCGTGCACCGAGTTCATTCTACACATTTTTGCTTCTTTGAGAAAATAGTTAATTTCTCTTTTTGTATTGAAAGTGATTGCTGGAGTTGTGGAGAGAGAACAAAGTTCCACGAAGTTCAGTTCTTCAGAGGAGTTATTTGAAGACTAAAATGAAGTTGTCATTGCTAGAAAATAAGTAAGCTTGAGAATGGAGCCGTGAAATAATTGGCGTTTTAAATATAATTGTGACAACTTTGGTCTCTGCGTTTGGAATGCTTCAAGCTCTTCTAGCACTTTTTCCTGGGTGCTTTTTTTTTGTTGTTTTGTTTTTTATTTTGCTTTTGTTTTGTTTTGTTTGTTTATGGTTTTGTTTTGGTTTGGGGGTTTTTGTGGGTTTTTTTTTTTCTCAATCTAGATAATATTTGTGATGGTTT